TGATCAGAGGAGTACCGCGCATGTTGGTAAACACAGTGATAGATGTAGATGCTTCAGATCTTTGTAAATTTTTAAAATTTATGTGAGTTTGGTTTCATAAATTCTTGAAGGTTACAACATACTTTACAACTTAAAAAATGCTCATAAATATACTCACGGATTACTCACTAATAGTATCTTCATATTATTATTGTTAGTTGGACTCAAACTTATGTCGATCTTTTGTGATACTACTTCCTGTCTTTAATATAAGACTTTATTTGATTTTTATTTTGATCATAAATATAAGATCTTAATCCACTTTGTCTCTCATATTTATGTATTTTTTTCAAGACAGTCCTCCTAATAATAGTAGTTATAGCTAATACACTTAATTAGTAAGGATATTTTAAAAAAGGCAACACATATTTATTATAAATAACTAATTTAATTTTTTTTTAATCTCCTCAAATTAGTCAACTATCTCTTATAATTAGGACCGAATGTAGTATAATAGATCATTTCTTTTCTGCTGAACCGATTTTTGTTAAATGATATGTCTGGAACCCTTACTTTTAAACAAAGATATCACCTTATTAGGAAATTAAAGGGGAAGGGAAAACGATTATATAATACTCCAATGAAACCCTAGATTATCAGGGTGATTAATTACTGTTCACACACGGTACGTAGGATTCACTTTCCATGCTACAGTATAATTAAATAAATTACTTAAAGCATCAATATGGTAAAAATCAAGCACGTTGCCTCTATAGTATATACGAGTATATCGTAACTAAGGAGGGGCATTAATAAGAACCAAGAATTAATAATATTTAATTACAAAGTTAGAAAGTGAAGCAATCAATATCACACTATATACGGTGCATGCTTACGCTGCCAAACTTAATTCTAAAATTCACTTCCTTATTTGTCATCATGATTATGTGAAACCAGATGCTTTTTTTTTTATATATAAATATTCTAGGCTTATTTTTTTCGCCACATAAATCCACACAATATAATAGCTCTAAATAACAAAGGCATGAAATGTCAAAAGTAATAACAGTATAATTTCAGACCAATAATAATATAGTAACAGTAGTTAAACAGTATTTCTCATGAAACACGATTACAAAAAAGATGTCCTGCTGATGATTTGCACGGATTTTGGATATTTATTTCTACAGTAAAACTTTTTTCTTCTGGGAGTCTCACACTGTTTAGTCGATTGGAATCACCTAAAGAATTTTAATTTAGTCACATTTTGAACACATGCTCAATTTTTGATATGTTGTATGGTGAGTTTTAAAAGTTCAAAGGTCACAATGATATAACTAATGCCAATTCACATCGCTCAATATTATTCTTTGTTTTTTTTAATTTAATTTTGTAATCAATAGAGAATGGATTCCTTTCAAAAATCAAATAAAAATAAGCTAAGAGGTCATTGATACTTGATAGCTACTGCTGCTCCTTAGTATAAAAGTTAACTGACTAATTTAAACAAATTAAAAAAATCAATTAAATTAATTATTTATAATATATAGGTGTTATTGTTCTTAAAATATTCTTGTTAATTAAGTGTATTAACTAGAACTACCATTGTTGCAAGGACTATCTTAAAAAAAAGATAAATATGAGAGATATAGTGGATTAAAATATTATATTTAAGATTAAAATAAAGATCAAACGAGATATTATATTAAAAATTAAAGGTAGTATTACACCTCTAATAGCGATACTAAAACTCAAGAGGTCATTACAGACCCCTGAGAGATCCATGCTTTCTGCCTATCCGAACCAAAGTAGCAAGCAACCAAAAACAAACAAACTAACAAGAGATAACTTATAAATAATTAAACTTCAACCTTAATTATCTTGAAAATTATTTTCAAAAAGCTAATTCCGCGACTTGAACCTATGTAGCAAATACGGAGACAACTAAATTAGTTGTTCCAAGGCTTCTGAATTATACCAATAGTGAAATAGCCGTCTCTTGTGAAAAGGGGAATAATTACCCTTAGATTATAACCCTTTAGTTTAAATCGGTATGTAATTTTTTGAAATGAAGGAAGAAGGTTGAAAAATTTTTGAAAGAAAAATGGCAAAAGCTGATGACCCGCACAAAAATTTGCCCCAAAAAAAACATATTTTATAATATATTAATTTAATATAAAATAAAAAGAGTATTTACAACACTCCCATGACAACTTTGTATTGACTTTGAACATTAATAAATTATTATGATTATTTTAAGATTTTTTTTAATTTGAAATAATAGGTACTAATAGCTCAAGATCATAAATAGGGTTAAACTCATGAACTCCCTCTTATATGAAAACTACCATGCTACTATACTCCAGGGCCATTGACATTTTCTTCTGAAAATGTTGATATATGAATTTTCACTTACATCTCATTCTATTCTTATTATCTGAGTAAGATAATTTTTTCTTCTCACTTCTCATCTAAGATTGCTTTCTCACTTAATCCACGTGCGCCTACAGTAGTATAGGTTCTTGCGAATTGGGTTCAAGAAGGTTCAAATTGATGGTAATGTGGTTTTCGAAGGATAGGTTAGGGTTAGGGCAGATATACCCTAGAAATAACCAAGAGAATCCACGCCTGGGTAGCTAGAAGATATAAATTTGAAAACAAGGGGGCAGTGAATGAGAATATGTGAAAAAGAGAGGGCCTCAAAGAAAAGGAGGGTCAATTATGCATCAATATAAAGAAAAAAAATTAATACAAGTTAATAATAAAAACATATATGCGCACCTAGGACGAAATAGCCAAGTCTTCCACACTGAAAAGGTAGACTTCCCCACAGGACCCATTATATATACACTTTATCTCAGTGCTCTCCCAAAAGAAAAGAAAAGAAACTAATATTTATTTTATGGACACAAATTGGAATCTGATTGATGGGTTCTGCCTTTAATCATTCTTCCTCACTTATTCAGCTTATGCAGAACCTAATAACTTCAAAAAAAAAAAAAAAGCAAAATGAGAATGGTAACTCAGATTGCTAGTTAGCATCTTGCTTCTTCCTTTGCCTTTTTTAACAAAGGAACTATACCGTAATATGAACAGTCATATCGAATTTTGCAGATACGAATGCTGAAAACAGTAGTTTTATATAATAATCAATATAAGCTTGCTAGAGGGAATATAACAATATCTAATACTATTCTTAGCTTTACAAAGTAAGCCACTGTTATTTTACTCCTTTCCATTTTCTACTAATAAAGTTTAGTCAAGTCCATCACCTTAACTCTCTTTGGTAAAACCCCACGTACTCTTTGGTGCTTCTTCTTCTTCTTTTATTTTCTTTAAAAAATATTCCTCACCCTTTTGAATTGATTCTTGCTGCCTATACTCCTTAGCAAAGAGGAAAAACTGACTTGGGAGGCGTCAACCTGGTGTCCCCTTCTTGCTTCAGAACATAAGAGGTGTTCAACAGAAGTTGCAGAGCATAGGGCCTTTGTTATGTGTTAGGGTAATGAGGAGAATTGAAGGTGTTTGGTTTTCTTTTCTTTCTTTTTCTGCCCCTAATTTCTCCTCTCTTGTTCAATGGACAGTTATTACCACATGCAGGTTAAAATGAGGGAAGAGAATATAGGATTTCCTTTTTTTGGTCTGATTTTGGAGGGTTCTTTTTCTCACTGCTTGACCATAACTCACAGTCTCACACTAAAGCACATGGGGGGAGACAAAATCATGTCATTGTCCTAAAAATCATTATAAGAGGAAAAGACGGCAAATGAAAATAACCAAATCTCTCGTCCATTCATATTTAAAAAGGTGTTTATATTTCCATTTCCCTTTTTATTTAGTTGCACTCCTGTAGTGGGAAATGACAACCAACCACACTTGTTTTAAGAATCCTGAAGGAAAATCCCGCCCTACCCCTCATTTATGCAGCAATATAGAATAATATCATGTCCTGTTTACAAATAAATTTGTCCCAATAACATACAATAATAACAAATGCTAGCAGGTTAACAAAAGAATTGCCAGATGTGTAACAGTGATCAAGATTTGCCACAGCTTACATGCAAGTCTCATTGTTGAAATGATCAAAGAGCCATCGCTGGCACTGGGAAATCTGCAACATTCAGATTTCCAATACTTTCCATATCCATATGTTCACAACACATTATGCATAGGGTATTTGTGAAAGCCCTATGTCACAAATACCTGGGTGGATGGGGGAAATCTCTAGAGCATATTGCAGTATGAAGCATTAGACCCATTTGTTTCATGAGTTAGTATATAGACAAAAATGTTGCAAAAACACTATGATTGTCATGACAGCCAGTACTAGCCATTTCTTCCTTTAGTTTTGCATATCAAATCTGCATGCACAAATATACGCATATAATGGGCATATCACTATTCCCAAGATTACAAAGAATAAAATCCATCCAATATCACTATGTATAAAGCTAAAACGTTATGCAGTACTGCTGCCCTCATACTTTTTCTGTTTTGTGCCAGGCTTGACTGCTAGTTTACAACCTTACTTTGTTAAAACTGACAACCCAAGAGGAATAATAATTGAAAATTTAAGATAGAATTGAAGGTTGATTTCTCCTATTTGAATTGCTGTGTTTTTTCTTTTATCTGCATGTAAAATTATTCTTAATGGGCCACCCAATTGCCGTACACCAACCGAGTGCTTTCTGTCAACAGAGCATGACTAGCATGCCACTTTTGATTTTTTCCGTGACTGCTCTAAATTTTAAAGCATATGAATATATATTCAAAAAAAAAATTCTCTCTTCCGACCGCCAGGGGGGGTGGGGGAAGAGAGAGAGAAGGTCTATATGAATAAATGGTTCAGAATTTCTAAATAATATTTTGGGTGATCTTGGTTGTGTTAGAATAATATGAGATAAAAAGAAGGTGGCATCCCACCATTCAAGAGAGGCATATATATGACCGTGGCGAACAGTGAACATCCTAACCCGTCAGCTCCTACTATATATTCATGTGCTCCTCAGAACACACTGGGAAATCAAGTTAAAAGGAACTTCTTAACATAACCCCCTCTCTCCCCCAATCATCACCATCACTGCCACTATCACCAAAAGACTACAAATTTCTCACCTTCTTTAGCCATGCCACAGAACTCCATAGCACCAAAACCAGAACACTGCAGTAGGAGCCCTGTAGAAGAAGGAGCGCAAGAGATGTCAGAGCCCCATAACTCAATTGTCCTTCCCCACCCAGCACAAACCAATGAACAATCTTTGCCAAAACTGAATTTGTACCCAATTACCCTGAAGGTATACCTTTTCCCAAGACCATATATACTAACTTGCATTAGTTTTATAGCAGCACCATCAATATTAATGTTTGTTTCTCTGATACAATTGTGCTAACTCTTTTGGTCTATGTCCTGTACTCATTTTACAGTTCGAGGAACTGGTTTACAAAGTTAAACTAGAGCAGAAAGGACAGTGTTGGGGCAGTTCATGGAAATCCAAGGAGAAGACCATATTGAATGGGATTACCGGTATGGTTTGCCCAGGAGAAATACTGGCTATGCTGGGACCCTCTGGCAGTGGGAAAACCACACTTCTGACAGCTCTTGGAGGCCGTCTCAATGGTAAATTATCTGGGAAGATCACATACAACAACCAGCCTTTCTCTGGTTCCATAAAGAGAAGAACTGGGTTTGTCGCTCAGGATGATGTTCTATACCCTCATCTAACTGTTTTTGAGACTCTATTGTTCACTGCACTTTTGAGGTTGCCTAACAGCTTGACCAGAGACGAAAAAGTTGAGCACGTAGAGCGGGTTATTGTTGAGTTAGGACTGACTCGGTGCAGGGGAAGCATGATAGGAGGCCCACTTTTCAGAGGAATATCAGGTGGAGAGAAAAAGAGGGTAAGCATAGGGCAGGAAATGCTCATCAATCCAAGCCTTTTGCTTCTAGATGAGCCCACCTCAGGTTTGGACTCTACCACAGCTCAGAGGATCCTAAACACAATCAAACGTCTGGCCAGTGGAGGTAGAACTGTTGTGACCACCATACACCAGCCATCTAGTCGTCTCTACTATATGTTTGATAAGGTAGTCCTGCTATCTGAAGGCTGCCCCATCTACAATGGCCCTGCTTCTACAGCCTTGGAGTACTTTTCATCCATTGGTTTTTCCACATCCATGACTGTCAATCCAGCTGATCTCTTGCTTGATCTTGCCAATGGTAATAGACTAATTATTTTTTGATTATTTTTCATTTTAATTTTTTCCTCATTTGTCTTCACATGTTGCTTTACTCGAATATAATGAGACCCCACTCTCAGAACTTCCTGAAATTTACTTTAATAAACTCTACAGGACAATTCATGTCTCACTTAGGAAGACCCATACTAGAAAATAAGGAAAGCAATATTAACAATGTCCCAAAAATTTTGAAAAATTGCAGGGATTGCCCCGGACTCCAAGAATTCAACTGAACAAAGTGAGAACCTGGAGCAAGAAAGGAAGCTAGTCAGGGAAGCACTAATTTCTGCTTATGACAAGAACATAGCAACAAGGTTGAAAACTGAGCTGTGCAGCTCGAATGTGAACTACAATATCACAAAAGATACTTCTGCAAGTAGGTCTTTTATCTCTTGGCCTTTGTTTTTGAAAGTTTTGAAAAAGAAAAAGGGAAAAAAAAAAAGAATAAACATATTTGTTACTGTTACTAGTCTAAAATACCTCTATTGCTTAATTGATGCAGAAAGTAACATAAAACCAGAGCAATGGTGCACAAGTTGGTGGTACCAATTCAAGGTACTGTTACAGAGGGGCCTAAGGGAGAGAAGGTATGAGACTTTCAACAGGCTGAGAATATTCCAAGTCATAAGTGTTGCTTTTCTTGGTGGACTCTTGTGGTGGCATACACCAGAATCACACATTCAAGACCGGGTAAGAGTAGCTTTAAGTTTTTTCTTATTTAGCCGATAATTAAAACATCAACTACAAGTATTTCCTTCTCATTTTCATGACAGCATCACGGCATTTCGTAATGTCTGTCCTATGTTTCCTAAGCTACTATTCAAGAGATGTAATCAAATATTTCTCAGGCACAACTTTTAATTTAGTGGTGCGAGGTACTAATACGGGGCTGTATCTGTAATGCAGGTTGCCTTGATCTTTTTCTTCTCCGTTTTCTGGGGATTCTACCCTCTCTACAACGCAGTTTTCACATTTCCTCAGGAAAGAAGAATGCTGATCAAGGAACGGTCATCAGGAATGTACAGACTTTCATCCTACTTTCTAGCTAGAACAATAGGAGACTTGCCGCTGGAGCTGGCTCTTCCAACCGCATTTGTCTTCATACTCTACTGGATGGGAGGGCTTAAACCTCATCCTATGACATTCATCCTTTCCCTTCTTGTGGTTCTTTACAGTGTACTTGTCTCTCAAAGTCTTGGCTTAGCCTTTGGAGCTATTCTTATGGAGATCAAGCAGGCCACAACCTTAGCTTCTGTCACAACCCTTGTATTTCTCATTGCTGGAGGATACTACGTACAACAAATCCCTCCCTTCATAGTGTGGTTCAAGTACTTGAGCTACAGCTACTATTGTTACAAACTTCTTCTCGGTGTCCAGTATAATGACAATGATGTTTATGAGTGCTCCAAGGGTGTTTTGTGTAGGGTTGGAGATTTTCCTCCGATCAAATCAATGGGTTTGAACCATTTGTGGGTTGATGTGGCCATTATGGCTTTGATGTTGGTAGCTTATCGACTTGTTGCTTACATAGCACTACATAGAGTGAGGTAAAGGAGCTAAGATCTGACACAGCTCTCATACAAACACAACTGAACTAGAAGAGTTTTTTTCCCTTCTTCAACAATTGAGGAATAATACTAGAATTTAGGACTTCTTATGCAGCTCATGTAATGAAATTTTGATCAGCTCTTCCTGAGTTGGATTTATCAGACCTTTTTCTTACTGTTGTAGGAAATACTAACTTATAAGTTGTTCTTTCGAAGTTAGAATAAATTTCTATTGTCTTATTCGCAAGAGATATGCCACTTGATAAGAAGCGAGAAAATAAACTTGCGTATTTTGATCAGCAGAAAGGTCGAAGATGGCTGCCAGCCATCAAAACTCAGTAACTCCTAAGGGACTCAATTGTAACCAGAAATGCTGTTTCATATCTCCCTGCATAATTGAATAATTGGCCAAAGGGCATTATTAGTGACATAAAAAGGAGATAATGCTTATTCAGTGGAAAATACTGTACAGTTCCATTCAATTTGTCACTCAAGAGCTCAAAAGTGTGATTCCTTTATGAAGTGATGAAGCATGAGCAAATCCATTAAAATCACGCCAAACAAGTGAAATTCATTCCCCCAATAATGTAAAGTAGAACCATATTAAGTTTAGTTTAGTGCTGATCAAGTGATCATAAGGAGTCAGAATGAAATCATTGATACTAGAAAGTGGGTAGATGGCCACGAGCTCTGGGTACAACATCTAGCAGGAAATGAATGAGATCAGGCTGATTCTTCATGCAAATATGAAATGACACCTAAAAGATCCGTGTCACACTCTACTTGAGCATAGTGCATTATCCAGAATCCACTCTAGATCACTTTGAAAGTGAACATGGAAAATGACTGCATATCAACCCGCATTGCAGTAAAATTTCCAAGCAGGCACGCTGTATGAGAACTTTTCTGTGCAGTTTATATAGTAATTCTGAGGACAGTATATCCATGAAATTGGCAAGGTATGGCGAAGGAAACTGAAATTTTGGAAGCATTAGTAAATAAAAAATGGCAGCTTTCATTTGAGACATTTTTACTCTGGACGGCTACATCAAACCTCGAATACAATTGTTACTCTAGTTGTCCATTTTCACCAGAGGTGCTGGATATGCTAACTAGCAACCCATGAAGTCGCATTCTTTTGCCTCAGACCGCAAAAGGGTAAAAGATAGGCTATTTTGTGCATAATAAATGCCTACCTAATCTATGACCGGGCTTTTTATCCACGAGATGCTCTATTAACCAACAAAAAGTTAATAATCAAATGAATATTTTGAACATCAGGAAAAGCCATCAAAGCGCTTACGTCCAGGAGCAAAAAGGAGCCAAAGTTCTAGATACCCACGAAAGGAAAGGAAGTTAACTGGAAGCCTTGCAACAACAATAGGTAGAGTGGAAGCTGATAACTTTGGTGGTCCACTTTGGCATCCACATTACTCAAGCATCACAGGTGAAAGAATCCCTTCACATGTCAGTGTTTTGCAGCCATGGCCTCATTCCACTGTTCAATTAAAGTCGGCCTATATGCCAGCAATATGTGGAACTAATTATCCCAATGACCCATCTTAGAGAGAGGACCAAGTATAATTATGAGAATAACCAGCTTTAGTAGTTTTAGTAACTACCAAGAATGTCACGCAAATATTATTAGATTTTCACTGCCCATTGTGTGTATGCTTATAAACTCTCTTTCTGACTTCTGCTTTTTCTACAAAAAGAATCGAAACCATTCCCCCATCAGCAGCAGTTTTATTCCTAGAAGTAATCGGTTACTTCTCCTTCCAAAGATTGAGTACAAAATTCTTTCTGCTTTCAACACCATAGGTACAATGTATGACCAAATAGAGGAAGATAATTTACATGCGAAGGAACCGTAATATTCCGCAATATAACCTGTTAACTAACAAGCATTCATTTAATCAAGACACCGGCGGCCAATGAACGGATCAAAAGATAAACTAACGGAAAGATTCGCGCTTTGGTCAAGGAACCAGGTGCCAGAGGGCCTGGGCTAAAAATGTGACAGAAAATCATTCTAGTTCATAGGTTTTGGAAATTTCCAAGCCGTAGAAGAAACAATTCAAAGGTTGCACATGCGAGTGGGACCAAAAGATCTCTTTAGAAAGACAGGCTTCTTCTTGAGCTTGGTATGTCGAATATTGAGTGATGCCACGTTTGCAGCACGCTGCAATTATCCCTGGTGTCGGCAGTAAACAATACTGAAAGCCACGAGAAATTCGCATAGGGATGTATCATCGGCCAAATCACGATCGTGAACAGAAAGCCCCTTTATGCCGGGGGGGCCTCCTCCTCTTGTAATATGTTCTTTGATGCTTGAGATCGATAAAAGATCTGAGCTCTTACAAAGAGCAGATACAACGCACCAGAGTTTGCTCATTTGCTAGCACGCGGCAGGGCCCAAATTGGTTCGGTCACTCGGTGTCAGGAATTAAAAAAAATACTTAGACAGAATCAAAACTTTAATTTTAAAAATATTTTTACGGTATACTAAGTAAATATATAAAAAAATTTATTTTATTTTGTGAAAAATTGTTTAAAAATATAACATATATTTAAGTAATTTAATTATGTTAAAAATATTTATAAGTTAGTTAGTTATAAAAAAATATGATATATATTTTTTTGAAAACACAATAATCATCTTTATTAATTTAATTTTTCACTATCTATTTGATTATGATTGAGAGAGTGTTTATAAATTTAATTTAAAAAAAATTAATAAATATAAAAAATAAATTTTATATTTAGAATCAAAATTAATTTAATAATTAGATTATATATTAAAAATAAAAGAAATTTTTTTTTTTGCGAGCAAAAATTGACATTAAATTATACTAGTGAATTTCGTGTTGTTGTAGGGTGGGATAGGAGCGGACCTCTCCTTTCGCCCCTATCCCCATTTTAAGTTCTTCCAAATTAAAATTTTTTTTAAAAGGGAACCAAAATTTTAATCTATTTTGCACTTCTATCTTTTATAATTTTTTTTAATATCTATAAAATATATTATTATATAATTTATTTTAAATCAAAATACATTATTATAAATAAAAAGTAAAAAATCTATATTATTATAATAAAAAGTTAATTTAAAATAAAAACATTATTATAATGAAAATATATATTATTACAAAATTAGTTAATTCTTACAAATATGTCATTTTATTAATTAAAATATATTTTAAAGCTTGAAGACAAGCATAGTTAAAAAAGAATAAAAATTTTATTTTTTTATAGCATGTGGAATTTGAGAATTTGATTATTTAAAATATATTATTATATTAATAGAGTAAAAAATTATTGTACCAATTTTTTAAAACACATATGAACATAACAATGCTAAATTTTCATTAGATTATGTAATTTGAATTTAAATTTAAATCAATTTATAGAATAAATAAATAAAAATATAAATTATTGTGTAAGAGTAAAATAATAAATTGATTATTATTACTTATTACTTTTTTTTTCCCATTTTTCCAATGAATTTTTTCTGATATTTTGAATTTATTTTAAAAGAATGACGGTAAAGTTTCAAGACTTTCATTTAATGAAATTTAGATGTTTAACAAAATTTCATAGAAATATAAGTTGCTAGTATTAATTAAAATTGTCATAAATACAAAATTCAGTAATGTAAGTTAGGAATTAAATTTTTTGTCAACTTAAATTAGAAATTAATGATCATTAAGTATCATAATTTATAATTAACACTCAACTTTTATAATTGTTTGAACAGTATCAAACTAATTATTTAGTTGTTTTTATCACATTTGCATATCTTTTTCTTTCTAACTAATTCACTATATGTCAATAGTAATTCCTCATTTTTAGTCACTTTTAGGCTTCACAAATCTTATCTTAATCGATGAATCCGTTCTCATCATACTAAAGCCGTCTTTTTAATATTCTTATTATTCTTGGATTGAGGATAAGTTAGCACATGTATTTGCTCAGCGAAAAATGTAGGCTGATTCAAATGTCATGGTGCTACTTATTAAGCAGTTAATTTCTTTGAGTTCTTTTTTGTGTTTTTAGATTAATGTTTTTAATTGCAGTATTCGAGCTACTAACATGTGATCTGTCTCCAACTAGATCTTTTTATGTCTAAGATTTAAACATATAGTTAACCCTTTTTAACTTGCCATTAGCTCAGCAAAAAAGATATCTATTATTTTTTTAAAGTGTTTATAATAACCTTAAAGTATCTCTTATTTCAATTGTAAATCAAACCGTTAATGTCTCATTTTCCCTTAACAACTCTCTCATTCATATTTAACATTACATGATTTTCTTTTAACGCACATTTGCAGTATGAAGTATTACATTTGCTTGTTTCATGAGTCAGTATATAAACAAAAATGTTACAAAAACACTATGATTGTTATGACTGCTAGTATCAGCCATTTATTCTTGGAAAAATCCTAATTAAATCTTGCTGAAATACTTAAATTTAAATTGAGGCCTACACTTTTAACAAATTCTTAATCAGGACATAAAACCTAATTAGGGATTGTTGAATATTGTTAAATAACTATAATGCCCCTCTTTAGTTAAAAATGAAAATTGATTATTTTATCCCTATAAAGTGGTTCATCATCTCTTATTATTAATATTTAGACAAAAAAATATAAATAATTTTTTAGTGTTTGAAATTTTGTAATATAACTAAAATCTTCAAAATATTTTCATAAAACATTCCAAATTATAATATAAGTAATCTTTAAATAAATTTTTATTTTAAAATTTTAAAATATTTTAATTATAATAAAAATTTAATATTAAATCGTAATCATTTACGTTTTCAGTTGGATTCGACATTGTTTAAATAAATAAAACTAACGTAAATTATAAAAACTGAAAATAAAAAAAATTTATTTAAACTTTACTTATATTTATAATTTTACTTATATTTGTAATTTAACATGTTTTATTAAAATATTTTTAATAGTGTAAGTTATATATACAAATTTCAAACATTGTAAAATTACTTATATGTTTTTTGGTCTAAAAAAGTCATAAGAGATGAGGAATTACTTGAGAGAGGTATATTAATCAAATTTTCTTTTTAATTGAAGAAGGGCATTCTGGTTATTTAACAACATTTAGAAATTCCTAATTAGGTCTCATGGCTTAATTAGAAATTTGTTAAAAGTGCAAGCCTAAATCTGAATTTAGGTATTTCGGCTGGATTTAATTGGGATTCTCCCTTTATTCTTTTAGTT